GTCTTCATATTGTATGTAATCTATAAATATATATTACAGTATAGAGAATATATTTTGTTTTTTGTGTTCAATTGTAATGAAATGTTGGCCGTCTGGACAAGGAGGTATTTACATATAAATTACATTTGAAGAAATTAGTACAGCAAAAGACTTAGAATTAGACTTATTTTGTCATTTTGTATACACAAGTGTATACAAAATGAAATTTCATTTAAAACAGCTCTAGACAATTTCATTTTTTTAAAGTGCAGCCTTGAAAAACAGTAATAAATACATAAAAAAATAGTAATATAAACATATGACTGTATATTTACAGTTCTAACATTACATTTTTTTTTAAATAGAGCTCAAAGCTGGATTACAGTTTGCAAATTCCCCCTGGAACTGAGACCTCAATAATTTGAGAGATGTCCTGTGTTCTGAGGAAAATAAAATTGATTGTTTTGGCAGTTATCACGATCCACGGGTGCTGTGTGTGATCATGTTGTGTATGTCATTTCTAGCAGCAGGGACTTCACAAAACAGATGGCATCATGAGGAAAAAACAACATGTGAAATAATGTTAGACATATTGAACAAAATAGTATGTCCTTTTATAGTGTGGTGAATTATTTGATCCTGGTTGCATGGTGGCACCATTTATAGCAATGTTGCCTTGCAGTAATAAGGTTCTTGGTTTGATTCCCAGTATGCGGTCTTTCTGAGTGGAGTTTGGATGTTCTCTCCGGGTACTCCAGCTTCCTCCTACAGTCTTAAACTCGACTGTTAGGCTGATGCCACTAAATGTGTCTTAAAGGGGCAGTGTATGGTTTTTAGCACCATCTAATGGTCAGACTGCAGTGACATGAACAGCTCCCCCGCCGCTCCTTCCTCTACAACAAAACGGAGGCCGTTGTGGTACAAAATAGCTTCCAAAGGGTCTGCATCATCTATCTTGTCTAGTGATATGAGGTTTGTTCACATAAATAATTTTATAAATATTACTTAGTAATTTGGACATAGATTTTTATAAGGCCTAACTTGCTGCAGTCACATTTGATCATAATGCTGATCTCTACAGTTAGTAGTTTGTCGTCTCTGTGCTGCTGTAGCGCAAACATGGATGCCTCCATAAAAAGTGAACTGCTCATATGTAATTATAAAATGCAATTTTTAAGTCAACGCACACATACAGATTGAGTTGAGAATGTTTACAAACAGAGTTTCAGTTTGTAGACATTAACAAGGTATCTATGCATAAAATATTGCTGTTAATACAGTAGGTCCCTGTAATTATTAGACTCTGTATGCTTTAAGATGATGGTTCTTGGTTGTATTTCTATGTATGGCTCTGAAATGGACTGGTGTCCTGTCCAGGAATTTACCCAGCTTTCACCCACAGACTTTCACCAGCTTCCTTTAATGCTGATAAGTGGCAGAAGATGGATGGATCGATGCTCAAGAAAAATAATATAAACAGCATTGACATGGAAATCTTTCCAGAAAAACAATATAAATTCCCTAGCCCTTCCACTGCTGCAGCCACTCAGTCTCTCCGAAAATGTAAAACATATCCAAACATACAACAAAATCAAAATGCCCTAACAAATAACCACATGTACAAACTAATAGAGAAGTAAAACTACATGGATGTATTGTAACAAATATCACTTAAAATGTAACTCACCCAAAAAATTTTTTTTTTTTTTTTTGCAGATTAACTATGCAAACTGAGCATATGGAGTGATAAAAAGATCTGTGTTTGGAACATTTACCAGCATTCCTCTCCTCGCTTTCCATACTTCAATAAGGCTAAGCTAAGTTAGGCTGGACTAAGTTAATGAAATTGTTGCTCTTGTCTCCTAATCCTAGCTCCTATCCCTCCACTTTCTGCATGGTCAACAAAAAGAACACTATCTAGGGTAGGAAAGGAGCTGTTGTGCTGAATTCAGATAGCGTTTTCCTTATGGGTGCTGTCAGAATGAGACTATAGCTGTCTAAAAAAGAATGACAAACATCTTTCCCATTATAGTACTCAAAATATATAAAGGTGAGGACATTTTCCTGTGTCCCACAGAGACGTTAAAAGATAATGTATATTTGTTAACTACAGTTAGGAGGGCTCATCCCACTAAAGTTCCACCGCTCATTCCCACACTAAGTATGAGCCACTTTTGTGCCATTTTTATACAATACATTTCTCTAGAGGTTGGCGTTTATTTATGTACGACGTGAATGACATTTTAAAAAGCAGAGGTGAAGAGAAGTAAGGTTAGTAATAATAATAAATACAAAAAGAAAAAAAATAGGAAAATCCCAAAGAATCACAAAGAAATAAAAAAATCACTTTTAAAATTCTTTTGTGCAAAAAATTTGGCTTTAAATACGCCTATCAATGTGCTTCTACACTCCTGTCAACAAACATTGATATCTGTTTCTTGTAATAATAATTGAACTTTATTGATCTCACACCTGAGAAATGTACCTCTGCATTTAACCCATCCCTCTGAGGAGGAGTGGGCTGCCATTCTGTGGCGCCATGGGGAGCTGTGTGGGGCTGAGGGTCTTGCTCAGGACCCAGAGTGTAGGCTGTGGGGATCGAACTGGATTCTTGCAACCTTCTCAGAGTACAAGCACACTTCTCTAACCACTAGGCCAACACTCCCCCATACATGTTTTTACATGTTAGGAGTATCTTAATCAATTTTTTTTAAACTTTTTTCAAGGTTTTCTGACATGGATTTGACAAATCAACACCTTAAAATAGTTTACAAATAATCCAACTATTAATAGACAGGTATTGAAGAGTCTAGCAATCTAGCAATTACACATAATTACCCAAAAAAGCACAGCAGTTGACTGATAACAATTAGTATTTATCCTTAATAGTAGAGCTCAAGAATGACATTTAAACCTAACTTAGGAAATATCAGTGTACAGTAACTTTATCCTATCTCTTGGTATATTTTTACAGGTTATTTATGTTTGTGCCCCTTAAAGCATTCCCAGAAACTTCGCCCAGGCGTGCAACCTCGGTTCAGACACGTGAGAGCTGGGGGGCCAAAACAGGGTTTGTTTTGATGAGAAGGAGCTTGCCTGATCTCTCCCAGGCACTACCCCTTTGAGGTCAACAATGCATTCATTGCATCACTCCAGAGATGGTGGGTGTCTGGTCTGCTATTCTAGCCAATTAGAAAGCTGCTTGAGACACACACCAAAATCCCTACTGAGGCCCAAGGCTGAGAAACCATGGATTAGGTGGCTTTCAGTGGCAGATGTGCATGTCAAAACCACTGCTACTCAAGTAACAGTAACAGAGCACTGCACATATTTACATTGTGATTTGTAAATTACGTTTTAATAATTGGTGCAGTCATTCTAGTGCTTGATTATTGTTTGACAGGAGGGAGCTAAGTTGATACAATTAAATTAACATGTAAACATTAGACTTTTTGTATTTTTCATCAAAATAATGTGATTATTAGGAAGTCAAAAAACAACTTTCATGAAAATGATGTGATGTGGAGGAGTTGAGTGTAAATAGTCTACAAATTATGCAATACCTAAAATATAATATCTGTGTTGGCAGAGGATATCAGGATCAAACTGCAGAGAGGTTCACTGACATAATCTGCACAGCCAGGGTACACTGAGAACAGCTTGTGACATATCATGCTTGTACCAAGGACAGCCACATGACTACCACACAAATACAAACACACACATTAAACCAAGTATTTGTTTAAGGTTTGCTGTACTTATGCATCCAGGTTATCACAACTTATTTATCAATTTCATTTCAGTTCTTTTTGATCTTAATTGTTGAGTATACATATCAGAATGTGGAAATACTTTAGAAATAATTTATGGTCAGTATTTATATCACAAAAACTTTGAATTTAAAGTCCTGTGTGCATTTTCAAGAGCCACAGTAGAGAACAATAAACACACTGGGCCTTTTCTTGGAAAGTAACTGAGGGTAATTGGACTGGACGTCAATCTCTCCCCTTAACAGTGACATCTGTACAGATTGCTTTGTAGAGCTTAATCAGCTTAAATCTCAATTCTTGGAGCTATACCCATAATTTCTTCGAATTCCTTACAACTATATGTAAAACCTATAGTTATGTCTGGCTTTGCTGTTTAAAAATATTTACATGCGCCATTATGACTCACCTTTGTTTGTATATTTCTTGAAGAACTAATTTAAGTGTACATTTTCCGTGGTGGGATAAATTCAGGACTGTTATTTTATACCGTACACCTTCCTTTCTACAATTATCAATAATATTATTTTAGCATCTTACCCAAGACCAGCTGTCGGAGGGGCTTTCAGTCTCAGTTGTGCCACTAAAGTCCGGCTCCTCCATGCTGGTCATGACTCCATTGCTTGCTTTGCAGTAAGAAACTGCTGCTTGACAGCTTCATAGGAATATTGATTAAAATAGAGTGATCAAGGAACAGGCACAATTTATAACTCCAACATCACCTGAAAAAATGCCTTCGTTTGGTCCCCTTAAGGTGTTTCCTGGTCAAGTTCTCTAAAATTATGAGATCCGATGGACCAATTGCTCTTGCAGGAGATGTAAAGCCCCAAAAGCTGTGTGATCTGTTTTTAAGAAAGCAGCTTGAGCCTGTGCGACAAGTGTTTTACACTAAATTTATCAACAAGTGCCTTCTGGGAATGGAGTTCTTAGAGGAAATCTGAGAGTGTTGACAGTTACTGGACTCCCTGCTGCTTCAGGTTCTCATCTTCTGCTGCATGACTACATCATATTTTTTACTGTCCCTTACAAAATAGATTAATATTCTAGTTAATGTATTTCAATTAACAGGGCTGGATCACACATAAAAAACACAGCATCTGATCTAAGAACTGAAGAGATAAAAAATGACCTGTAAACAAGTATAGTTTCTGACTATTAGCTATTAATTTTGCACTGTTTAAAAGGTTGGAAGATTGATGCTTTACTGCAGAATCAAACACAAAAATGCAAGATATGAGTTGATTTATACAAATAGACATATAAAACTGTACATACTTGAAAAGGTTGCTATAAAATAATACATTTGCTCCTTACATATATAAACGTTAGAAAAAATATATTGTACCAGGACAGAGCTGCACACAGAAAATAAGTACTTTTTTACATGATCTATAACTAAAAATATATACTTTTAAATGTTTTCTGTAAAAAAAAAAAAAAAAAAAAATCTGCAAAACATGCATCTAGACATGCATCATGCATCTAAAAACTATGCACTATAAAGTTAGCCAAAAATAGGCTTACATTGCACACAAATGATAGTGTCTTCCCTGTTTCCACCTTTAAGTTTTCATTGTGTCTGCACCAAATCTCTGGCCATCGTCAAAACATATGGTAGCATATGAAACGCCTTTGGTTTTAAAACAATATACTTAATGCAGGTCTTTAATTGTATAAACTACAGTATATCATGGCAAAGCCTGTTACCTGTCATCAAGAGTTCGAGCAGCAGCTTCACAATCAATGTCCTGCTGTGAGCTATTAAAACACAAACACTCTGCTGTATTTCTAGGGACTCTTGCCCTTTAATTCAGCTCCCATTGACCATTTGCTTCAATCAGATGTGTTTTCCAGTCAGGAAGAACAGAGGCCGGTCTTCTTTGGCGTTGGCAGTCTTAAACTCGTCACTGAGTCTAAACCTCCACTGCTCCTCCAGCTCCAGCCTTCCCACAGTCTGCCTCAATGAGCTGCGATCTGCTCCTATTACACACAGGGTTGCACCTACACAGAGGCAAACAGGTACAGACACTATGAAGATGGGAGAGCTCCAGAAAGATGTGGTAGAATAATACCCAAAAAACTTGACATTAATCAGTTTTCAAAGAGAGAAATTACAATTTGAGCCATAAAAATTGTGATATTTTCTTGTTTTATAAGTTTCATTCTAATGAAGTTTTTAATGGAATTTTATTTGCATTTCAGATACCGGTACATTAAGACCCATCACTCGTCCATCTTCATTGATGGTTCTACAAGAATAATAATTTTAGTGTTTATTTTTACATAAATTACAAGTAAGAAAAACTTCCTTCCTTTTTATGTAAAGAAAATAACACTACATCACAATTATAGAAGGGAATTTAGACATTACCTGAGATTTCCTCACGTACACCACAATCTGCTTACTGTTTTTGCTTTTAAAATGAATTTTCTCTAATGGTTCACTGTAAAAATAGCAGATTTTTCCAGTTTCTCTCTGCTGCTGTACCTTTAAGAAAAGTGAACTTCTTGAGGAACCCAGAGGTCACAAATGTGTCAGGAAAGCAGAGAAGAAGCCCACTGAACACCAACCCAGCAGTGTTGATGTTAACGCAGTGAGGTCTGGAACTGACAAAACACACCGTTACCTGCAGGATGAAAACAATTTGTTTAAATCTAATGGCTTCAACACCTGAATTTAGTGATCAAAAATCCACAGGTTACATCAGGTATTTTCATACAATTAATTTCATTTATTGTTTATTTGAAAGGGGACAGTGTACATTAACCAACATTAAAACAATGTAAATATACCCGAGTTAGCTAAGGAGTGCTTATTTTCATTGGTAGTCCCCCAGCCAGATATTAAAAAGGCAACCGCCATCTTGCAATCTACATCATCCAGGGGTCTTTGTCAGTTCTGTTGGCTCCAGCCAATTTATAAAAAGAGACACAACCTTTTTACTGTTTTAGGTCATTTATTGTAACGGAAATTATTTCTATTGGATAATTTGCTTTATATTTAAAAGTTCACATATATTAATCATTTCTATACATAATATTTAGTAAGATTGCTTTTGATCCAGGTTCCCCAAACTGGATCTCAAGTAACTGTCTCAGGTTGTAGGATAATTAAATCAACTGGCATGCACATTTTCAGCTCTTCCGACAAGTCTTTTGTGGGGCTAAAAACAAGCCTAAGATTATGTCAACTCCAAAACACTTTATCTAGAAAATTAAATTTTTGCCTAATCCTTAAATTGATGGATTAGCTCTGGAGATTGTAATCTTAGATAAGAAGTAAGGGAAGAAATGTTATGTATGTTTTGATAGAGTGCATGTAAATATCTGACAACCAGTGGTTGTATATGTGTTATTATGTGTGTAGATGGATGTACTGTAAGTGTCTATACCTCAGGTCCCAGGTTGAGGTAACAATCCACAGACAGAACAGGGTGGGTGTAGTTCTTGGTGCTGAGGGGAAACAGTTTCTGGCTGGTGTGTTGGAGATATTTTTCCAAGAGCAGATGAGGTGGTGAGGCCAAGAAGAGATGCTTACTGTCTGGGGCACAGATGTACTGTGAGGGACCGACTGATGTGGAGACATCTGTCATCTGGATAAAACAACACAGTTGTAAAAGTTTTTTAAAGCCCAGATGTATGAAATAATTTAAAAAGGTCATGTATTATAGTGGGTTAATAGAGCAGTCAATGTTTCCCTTCATTTCTGGCCAGCCTGCTAGATAAACCTTTTATATTCAAATTAGTTTGCAGCTTAAAAAAAAGGAAAGTGTGCAATACACAATATTATTAGGAGATAATGTACCTTTATAAAAATGTAGAGAACGTAATGAATTTAATTAAATAATCGCAAGTTTTCCTGTCTAAATGTGTAACAATAATTGTAGCAGATTTACAGTGATTTGAAATAGCTTTTTTTTCCCCAACTGATTTTTTTCCTTTAAACTTTTTGTTAAGAAGCTTAAAAAACTGAAATACATTTAAATAGATGACAAGGTCACCTTAGGAAATAACAAAAACTGTTTTCACATGAGTATTTCATGTATGAAGGAAAAATAACTAGCTAAATTAATATTACCCAATCTGACATAAAGGGGGTCCCCCTGGTTAATCATGGATTAACAGCATGTTTGGTTAAATTTCACTGGTAATTGACATTTTTGCCAAATATTTAGAATATTATTTTTTTTCACAGTAAACTAAAAGACTTCGAAAGCATGTTGCAATCTAAAAAAATATCAAGTAAAGGTGGGTATATCAGTCTGGAAATCATTGAAAGCAATTTTTAAGTACCTGTACTACACCAAATTACTATATATTAAAATTATTATATTATAAATTATTAGAGTGTAAATGAAAACATGCATTAGCACTGAACCTTTCCAGGAGAGGTTGGCCTACCAAAATTACTCCAAAAGTATACTGACTTCTCATCCATTAAGCAGGAAATTAACTCATCCACCTTGGCCCACTTAAGCCAATGTGCATGATTTATTAGAGTAATGAAGAGCAGATAAAAATGTTTTAAGACTTATAAGATGCACATCTGAGGAAAAAGCAAAAGAAAAGAAGAAGTCGCTAATGGGGTAAATGCTTGTTAATGGCAGAATATTTCAGAGTAAAGTTACACATATTGTACACTGCTCAAAAAATAAAGGGATCATGTAAAAACATAATATAACTTGAATCTAAGTAAACTTCAGTGAAATCAAATTGTCCACTTAGGAAGTAACACTGACTGACAATCAATTTCATATGCTGTTGTGCAAATAGAAGAGACAACAGGTGGCAATTATTGGTAAGTAGCAAGATACACAATAAAGGAGTGGTTCTGCAGGTTCGGAGTACCTATGCTTTCTGACTAAGGTTTTAGTCACTTTTGAATGTTGGTTGTGCTTTCGCACTCGTGGTTGCATGAGATGGACTCTACAACCCACACAAGTGGCTCAGGTAGTGCAGCTCATCCAGGATGGCACATCAATGCAAGCTGTAGTTATAAGGTTTGTTGTGTCTGTCAGTGTAATGTCTAGAAGCTGGAGGTGCTACCAGGAGACAGGTAGTGTGTCCAGACAGGTAGTACACCAGGAGACGTGAAGGAGGCCATAGGAGGGCAACAGCCCAGAAGGAAAGCTACCTCTGCTGAGAGATCTGGTGCCTGCAACATCCTTCAGCATAACCCGTTTGGAAGGGGGTCAGTAATGGTGCGGGGTGACATTTAGTATGACTGCCATTGGGTACTGAGATGCGATCCTCAGACCCCTTGTGAGACGATATGATTTTTAGGTTGGCCCTGGCTCTAATGCAGGACAATGCTAGACTTTATCTGGCTGGAATGTGTCAGCAGTTCATTCAAGATGAAGGCATTGAAGCTATGGACTGACCAATCTGTTCCACAGACCTAAATCTGATGCAGCACATCTGGAACATGGTGTCTCAATCCATCCACCAAGTTCACATTGGACCACAGACTGTCCAGGAGTTGGTGGATGCTTTACCCCAGGTCTGGGAGGAATCTTCAGGAGACCATCTGCCACCTCATCAGGAGCATGCCCAGGCATTGTTGGGAGGTCATATAGGCACCATTGCTTAATACATTTGATTTCCATTGATGAATTTTGTGTGGATTAGTTATCAGCACATTCAACTTTGTACAGAACTAAGTATTTAAGGATAATATTTCCTTTATTCAGATCTAGGATGTATTTCAGTGTCCCCTTTATTTTTTGAGCAGTTTAATACCATCATTAGGTGTTTCTAGATAATGTTTTGTGTTTAACTACTGCCTCAATTCGGATCCTTTATTAGTCTCTACCTTGGTCTTGATAATGAATGTCCTGTATCCGCCAATGGCAATCTGCTTCTTCATGACGCTGAAGTTATTAAACTTGCAGACAAGCAGTCCTGCGCTGTGCAGCCTCAGGGTGAAGTCCACATCATGACACGTGAAGCGGTTTTGGTCGTACTGGACATTCTGACTTCGGTCAACATTGAGAAGGAGGAAGTCATGAACATGACCTCTGGAGAACGGTTCCCACTGTTTGACACCTGATTTAACAGTAGGAAAAAAACATTGCAGTGACAATAGCATAAATAACAATTTAGCTTTTTATATAACAAAAAACGATGATGATATATGATCTGACAAATGATTAAAATATATAAATATGTTTTAAGTTAATAAAAAAAGAAATCTGAATGATCCTTTTCTCTTTGATATTGTATTTTCTGACCTGCCAATCCTCGGCTGTTCCACTTCCTTATACCACACAGACCATACTGAGCAAGGTCTGGACAGCCCTCCATGTGCTGTAAGACTTGTTTTAGTGACACAGCACGTTCAGCTGGAGAACTAAAAAAAAAAAAAAAAAAAAAAAAGCAAAATGTAAACAAAGCATGCCATAAACCAAAATTATTACAGAAGGTCTTCATTTCTAAATGAGTACATATGTCATTCTTTGCACCTTAGTTTCTCATTGTCTACAGCGTTCCACATTACACAGGAGTCATCAGCGAGGATGATGAAGGGCCAAACATCACCAGCTGGGCCTCCACCTTCAAGACGCCGACTGCGCTCCAACTCTAAGTTGTGGTAAGAAAGCTCTTTTATCAGGAAGTGAGCTGCACCTGGATGCACAACAGGAGATGATCATGAATGTGATGAATTACAGAAATAAAAAATAAACCAAAGAAAAAGGTAAAACTGACACAGAGATTAATTTTGAGTTATTCAGCTAAATGCTTCTTATAGTGGTGACATACCTATACCAGCTCCGTTGAAGACAGTAGGTAGCACTAGCATGATGTGGTTGGGCCAATACTTCTTGTAGACGGCCATCTCATACTCTTTCACTACAAGGATGTGTAGATGTGATGCTCCATCCATTGCATGGAATAGGTTGAACAAACCATGCTCGTGGCGGCCAGTGGTCGGGGTAAAGATTGGACTCTTAATGCAGTCTGGGTTCTGCAAAAGTAGAAAAAACTAATAAAAAAAAACAAATTGGTTCAGGAACAGGAGACGGCTCACAAAGCAATCAGCGTAAAGCAACGGCTGCGGGAGCTACTGGGCACAACTGGGCACTACAAAGTTGCACTTTGCTTTATGTAGTTTGGTTTTTCTTAATGTGGTTGCGCTTTGCTCTATGTGGTTGCGCTTTGCTCTATGTTATTGTGCTTTAAGATTTGTAGTTGCAGTTTGCACTTCAGGGCCACCGTACAATTGACCTTTTCATAAGAGACATTTAAAACTACTTATAAAAAATAGTAGCAAATGGGGATGGCTACTTTTATTTCTAAATTACTAAACTAAAAATTGCTGACATAAGTGGGGAGTTGGTTTATAAATATAAAAGGGAAAACTGAACATGTTGCTGGTACTTTTGCTAATATTTATGGAAAATAATTTTAAAGTTTAAAGACTGAATACAGACCTCAACCATACCTTAGTTACAACAATATGAGACGAAATATCTAAATATCTAAATATTTTATTAAAAACGTCATGCATATTTGAGGTGTAGAGGAACTTTCAGGCCAAAGAGAGAGATTTTCCCCATTATTCTTCCACACACCTTCACTCCAGGATTGAACTCGTTCTGATGAGCACAAAAGTTCAAACTTAAAGGAATGCTAACATTGTTTTTTACTTATTAATAATGTCAGGACATTACTGAAGTGCAAGTGCAATAATAATAATAATAACTGTGTAGTCTTTCCTTAGCTCTCTACTTTGCAGATATCTTTATATCTAAATGAAACATATTCCAGGATATCATAACTTTTTTATGCTCTTTTATACAAGCCTTTTATATTTCCTGTTGTATCTTTTATCTTTCTAGGCATCTTGCTTTAACTCTTGGTACTCTATATAAGCTACTGGAACCAGAATTTTCCAGAAGGAGTAATCCCAAGGGATAAATAAAGTTGAGTCTAAGTCTAGATGAAATTACTCATATATCAGACCACAGTTTTATCTACAAATTTAAACTGACCTAAAACAACTAAATGGCACATACATATAGAAAATCTAAATAAAGAATCCATGTAGGAGATGTTATCACCTACCTTCAAAATCCAGACATAACTCTATCTAAACATGTGACAACGGTGGACGACTGTGGGATGCCATTAATTTAAAGTACTTGAGAGTTTATATCCAAAGATCCTTTTTAATTTTTTCCTGTTAGAATCCCAGTGTCACAATGTTTTATGCTTAGGGTAGGCTGATAGCAGAGTTTCTTTGGTCTGGGAGCCCATAGCTTTTATACATTCAGCACAGAGTTATTTTACACTGATTCTGCAAGAGTATCTCTTTTTTATATGTAATAGGTAGAAATTAATGGGTTGTAAAAAAGACTTAACATTTGCACCACATGGTGGCAGAACCATGTAACTGCATCATAACCAAAAAAATCTAAAACAATTTATATGGATGAATAGATTGTGATAGATTTTTAGGATTTAAACACAAACAAATAAATATCATAAAGCTTAGATTATTCCCTTTCACAGGTTGATGATTTTGTTGATGGGGTTGCTCTGAGTACTGCCTTAGACAAAGCAGCTCATTTAAAAATAAAAACCATCAAAAAATTAATAAAATAAATAAATAATAAAAATAAATAAATATATATATATATCTTTTTTTTTTTCTTTTTTTTTACAGCTGGATACTCCTTCTGAGAATATGATACTTTGGTATAAAGTTCAGTGACAGTGAACATACCCGGTCAGAAGTGAGAGGCAGACGCATGCTCTCAAGTTGACCACCTGTCTGGCTGAAGCTGAAGTGATGCTCTTTAGACTTTGGGATGATGAAATACAGCTGGATGTCTTCTCCGAGTAGAAGATGGGTGAATGTGAAGGCATGCAGTGTAGACTCATACATCTATGTTATGAATAGAGATAAATCCCATTTATATTTAAGAGGCAGCTTTATATAATTTCTCAAAATTGACTTTAACAAATATATCTGTTTGGTTAATATGCCCACCTGATATCTGGGATTAAAGCCAAGGTACTGATGGCACTGCTCACAATGATGATAGGTATTGTACGCTGCATACTTAGATAGCTTTATCCTAGATGTCCGTCGTCGCAGATACACATCCTCTTGCCGCATAGGGTTTTCTTAAAAAGACAACAAGGAAAGATGATGTAATAATAATGCAAAATCAACTCCCAGGTTGAATACCCGGATCCCTATTATTGGTTGATTTCATGGGTCACGGTTTTAGAATTTTCATACCATCGGCTCGTGGTTTAAATCCAGGACAGTATACAATGCTGATGTCATCATATTTTGAATCATGGATGGTGTAGTCAAATGGCATCGTTTTTATAACCTCCGTTTTGGGCCATGGAGCATTGGGAGGGTGGTACTGCACCTCTTCAACCTGGGCTGCTAAAAACCCAGAACATGTTTTGTTAGTTTACAGTACTAGAATCACTCAACATTATCAGTATAATTATAGAAAAATGAAGGTGGCGTTATATGATTGTTGAAATAAAATGTGAAGATAACAAATAATAAATTAAATCACAAAATTGTTTTCAATAATGACTTAAGGGATAAACCATTACTGACTGCAGTGGATGTCCTCCTCATCGTAGATATCCACCTCCATTAGCCTGATCAGCATGCGAGACAGTAGGCCCAGGAAGTGCAGGTATGCCCCCGTCTTACCCACCTGACCATGAAAACATTACAATAATACTTTAATGTAAATACTCTGTGTCAGGGATTTTCAACTCCAGTCCTCAATCTTATTCAGGTTTGCTCGATGAAGTAGGGATGAATCTATAAACTGCAGGTTGGGAGATCTCGAGGACTTGAGTTGGAGACCCCTGCCCTGTGTCAATCCTGTTATTCTGAATAAATTAATGGAGGGGACACAGGCAAAATGAAAGAAAGAAAGTATAACTGATATTACCTGTGGGGGGCCACTAAGCAGCAGCCTGCGAGGATGGAAATTGTCTGTTCGTCCTTCAGTGCGGTTGGTGCTGTCCATGTGGTAGGACCGAGGTACCGTCCACTGACGATAATAGAGTGACTGTTCTGTGCAGGTCATCATTTTACTAAGCTGCGGTCTGGACAAAATCAACAAATCTTACCTTAACATTGTAGTAGAGTGTCATTTTTTCCCCCATCTGAAACTTGTTGTTTCACACTGCTTGTATTTGTTTATCTCTTGTAATCAACTCATTAAAAAAAATAATGAATAAATACCAGCCATTGATAATCCTTGATAATGGCCCTAAGGCATTATTTCAGCATCATATTTTAATTCAAAACTCTCTAAAGATCCCCCAAAGGACTATTTTTCTTTTAAGTTATTAGAGGCTCACATTAAGTGCAGGTGGTTATTTGAAATAAATGTGGTTCATTTTACAATTTCAGTTATTTATAAACCAACGTTTTTTAGGATGGGAAAGAAAAATTCAGTGCCTTAAAAAAATACATACCCTTTGGACTTTTTATAGATGAACCATACACTTCAGTAAATTTAGTAGGACATCCATCCTTTACTTTTTGCTGAGAGACATATATATATAGTCAATATAAGGAGGGTGCTACACAGCAGGATTATAAACTAATGTTCATTAATTTGTCAAAATAATGCCTCAGACACATAGATGTATTGAGCCTGGCTGTCTGATTCCAGCTCTCCTCAAGTCATAATAGAGAATACAGCAAACATAGCAAGACTTAAAACACTGTCTACATGAGCTCTCCTTTTTTAAAGTAGAAGAAAAAAATGTGAAGAAAAGGATCTGGGTTGGTTCTATAAAATTTGACTCAAAAATGATTAAGATAAAAGCAGATCATAAAATTTTATTTTATATTGTAGTTTTGTAATTTTTGATGAAAAACTGTAAAATATCGTATTTTATTTCAGTGTTTTTTATAAATAAATCAAAGTTTCTAGTTTGAGGAGTGGTGCCTTCTTAGAATTCATACTAAATACATAACTTTATGGACAGTGGTACAGTTAACAATACAGGTTTTGTAATATAAAGAAGGGTTTTTCTTACCTAAAGCTGCTTGCCCATGCAACAGATATGTGTGGCAAGAATGAAGTGCACCGTGGAAGGCCACTGCTGTCACTGGCTGTGATAATGTCATAGAGAGCACGAGGAAGTAGCACCGATGGAGGACGACTCAATCCCCTAGCCCAGGAGCAGCTCAGATGAGGAGAGGAGGCCCGTGGCGAAGAAGATTCAGAAAAAGGTTTGGGGGGAATTTGAGGCTGAGAAACAGGCTGTTGCTGGGAGGCTGTCAGATTGTAGGATTGAGCATTTGTTAGAAACGATGACTGACTTTGACCTTGGGGCTGTGCCAGCTGGACCGGGAGATTACTTGGAACTTGGGGTTGGTTTTGGAAGCAATAAGTAGTTTGGAAATATGCCTGAGAAGAGGTCTGCGACTGAAGTTGAGTTTGGACTTTAGAGGGAGACTGTACATTATCAGAGATGTCTTTAATTGCATTAGGAGAGGTTGCATTTCGAGATGGGAGGGGATCTACAGTTCTACTATCAGGGCATTGCTGAAGGGGCTGAGAGGACTGTGAAGGAGAATCTCCTGGAAATGACCAACAAATACATAGAGGGTTTTAAATAAACAAAAACATGAGGTCATCAGCAAACATTCCCAGATTTATTTCTCATCATACCATTCTCCTGTCCCTCCTCCTCTTCATTGTCGGTGCTGCTGAGTTTCTCAGCATCACTTTCGATCACATCGCTTCCTGGTCCATGGTTGTGTGGCAGTCGTGACTCTGCCTTAACCAGATAAGCAGCCAGTCCCAATTCCTGCTCCAGAGATGTTCGTTGAAGGTATGAGGAGCTAATCACGCGGAGGTCACAATACTTCAATGATCTGTCAGAAGGAGAAATACCACGACTTTAACGAAATTAAATATTTGTTATAACGTAGTAAGTCTGTTAAAGTATTTACTAACTAAAGTGATGGATCGAAGCTCAGTGTGTACCTGGGTAAGGACTCTCCAAGCGGCTCAGCGCCTGACAAGATCAGGATGCAGGGTAGAGCTTCCAGTTCTAAGTAAGTATGAGGAACCCATTCAGCATCTTGGATCTTTAAGAAACTCTATACAGCAAAAACACAAAAAAAGCACACACTGTATGATGACGCTTTTATTTCCAATTATATTATATATGCTAAACTTAATGATATAAAAAATTTACGAACCCTGATCTGATCAGTGAAAGTCTGACTGATTGTCAGAGCTTGGCTAGGATTCCCCAGAATAATTTCAAAGCATTCCTCAAGACCCAACTGTCTTCTCACTCTGGACAGCCGTCGATGGGCCCAAGATGCCAGCGCCAGAGAGGGGATCCGCAGCAAAACCATGTGACCATGATGGGCGGGGCACTGCTGCGCGGCAGTGAGCAGAGATTGTACAATTTCCATGGTTTCCACAGAGGTGTGTTTGTGGAGATTGTGAGAGCTGCTGATTTTACCAGATGCAGCCATTAGAGCCACACAGTATTGCTGGATTAACACTGTAGTTCTGATAACAGCACTGTGCAGCTTTGGAAATCTGAAACAACAAAAAGAAACATTAAAGTTGGACTATGATTTGGTTTTGAAGTTTTTTTAAGAGTTTAGCTGATTAAAAACCCTGTATGTGGGTGTTGGACCTTTCTTCCAGGGTTGATGTCATGCTCTCAAAGGAGGAATCATATCGCAACAGCGGCAGGCTGCTTCCTGAGCGGGTCGACTCCAAAAGTTCTGACACACCAAAGTACCTTGTCTTCTCATGATAAAGGTCCACATCCTATGTGCACAAGGACTGAAAATCAGACATCTGTCTACGCAAACCTCTGTTCTAAACAAAGTCTAGACTCACATTGCTGAATGCAGATGGCCAGTGTATCTCATTGTAGGGGCTAATACGAGTGCACTGTGTCTGCAAAGCGAAGGGGAAGGAGGTGACGTGCAGAATCAAGATGTTTGTGGCATCTTTTACTTGTCGGGAGTTTAACAGCCGATCCACAAGACCCAGACTGCTGTCTGTGCAGCTGTAGGACATGCTGATTGGAAAAGAACAGTCATACAGAGGAATAGATGGAATTGATTCCATTATCTTTGTAGTATAATTTCACTGAGCTAAATGTTTGTAATCCAAACCTGCTAATATCCCAGTGGGCGTGGTCATGAACCAGGATGTAGAGCGTGTAGGAGTTGCTCTGTGCTTCCTGGATGAGTTTATCGATACGTGACTGAGCGCTTTGGTCCATCTTTACCACATAACGCTCTGCGTCTCTCTGAGACACAACTTCTTCCTCTGAACTACCGAGCTCCTGAAGAACACCTGGGAAATACAAAGCTGTATTAATTTAAAACAGCCATTTTGGGTGGCAATTTATGCTGAAGTGTTGTCTTTAGATGTTCTTGCCAGCCAAGAGCTTTAAGTGCACCCAGATTTCAAATAGTAATGAGAACTACAAACATCCAGTGACTTCTAGTAAATGAGGACATAAAATATAAACAAAACATACAATGTTATAAAAACTTCATAACATTTATTAAATTTGGCCAAATAAAGTGAAATCTACAAAAAGAAGATTATCCCCAATGTTTAATGGACAAACCTACAAGCCATTCCAATATAAATGAGTTACAGAACACTTTTCTAGAGAAATGAGCATACTTTTTTGTTAAATACAATTTAATGTCTTAGTTTTTTCAAACAGACAAAAAAATATATAAAAAGGAAATCCAAATTTTGTGGCACTTTGGATACTCTTAACTGAACAGCTTTTGGCTATGTTGCAAAAATGAAACAAAAAAGTACTATGTTTTAAACACTTTATAATTTTTTCAAATTTTACAGTAAAAAGTAGTCTAGCACATCAGACAAAGATTTTACTAACCAGAGCTCCAGAGGTGAAGAACCGTCTGCTGAAAGGAGACTTCAGAAGGTGGAACAAGGATGAGAAAACTGACCCTGTTAAAGGAACCGAGGTCCAGGTTCTGTGTGCTGGAGTCTGCAATGGCACAAACATGGGACAGCAGCTTTCTAGCTACTGCCAGCTGGATCGGACGAACCTCACACCAATTTACTCTATATTCTGCAAAAACAAATAAGATAAAGGCAGATAAAGGAGGGTGCTGCTCATGCAGACATCATGAAAGGAGGAATTTTAAATTCAAAATAGTTAATATAACTAAATTATTAGATATAATCATCTTTATATTCAATCTAAGATCTTTTTTTTTATCTGTCAGTTTTCTAACATAACTGTATACAGAAAATTAGTATATCACAGCACTCTAAGCCTCTAATAAGACTGTTACTTTAAAAGAGTAACTAGCAAAATAGTTTTCCAATAATAACAATATAATGATGTTTAGAAAAGAAAACACTGATACATGATTGTAAATGTTTATGTACCACAAATATCCTTCTAGGACACACAACTAAAACTCGTAATAGCCTGTTTTTTTTTTTTTTTTTTATCAGGGTTGCTAAATAAAAATAAAGGTGTTATGGCAAAGGGTCAAGTTCCATCTACTTACCTAAACAAGTTTCTTTGGGGTTTGATATGGTCTCTTTAGCGCTCGGTGTATCTTTGGGGCTATGTGGGATCTTTGGAGTCTTCCCTTCAGCTACTATCTGGCTACTGGATCGGGGTGATACCTCACTGTGCTCCACACTGGCACAGTCCAGGAGGGAATCCATGTTACCACCTGAGAACCAGAAAGCCACACAAACAGCTTAGCAAATTCTGAGGAAAATCCAAGTAAACAAGCCAAAGAGAGATAGACTTACCTTGTCCAAGGGAATTGCAATAGTGGATAAGTTCCTGAGCAGCATCAGTGTGGAGCTGGTGGCTGATTTCTCTAAGTCCCTCATTGGGAGAAAACATGCTCTCTGCTAAGGCACGGCACTGATGTTTACCTAAAACAAATAAGCTGTTTCAATATCAGGTCTTTGACTTCAGATTAATTGAGTCACCAGCCCAAACAAACTAAAAATCTCACCTGTTACAACCACACAGGACTGAGTTTCTTGTCCTGGTGAAGTGACAATGATGACCACATAGTTTGTGTTTTTAAGCCGTCCATCCATCAGTCTGCTGAACATTTGCTGAAGTCCCTGAGCCAAGGTTTTCACATCTTCTTCCATCACCACCACACTCTCCCCACAGGATGAGGCAGCGAGCTGGGCGAGCCAGGGAAGCTGACTAGGGGTGAGGGGCTGCTGACTCTGGGGAGGTAAAGAGAGAAGCTGGGGGAACCCATGCAAGGTAGGAGGTACCTGAGAAAAATCAAAATTTATCATTTGTTCATGTATATTCTTTTAATCAATGTTATTTAAATATAAATGCATCTTAAAAAAATGTCACAATGCTGATGTGTTTCTTGGAATGTCTGACCTCTATGCCATAGTTCCTTCCTTGAGTCCCTTGTGATTGAGACTGCTGAAACTGTCGGATCTCAGTGAGGTGAGATTCCCGCCATGATCTCATGAATATCTGCTCCAAGTCCTCAATGAGTGGCACCTGCTCGGGGCCTAGGAGAGAAAGTCAAATCTGCTCTCTTTACCCACTCTTTACTATCTTACCTTACATGTTTACACATAAAATGTGTTACATGGGTTTATACCTGAGGAAATTAACTGTAGTCTCTTTGAAATATGGGCGCTGTTTATTGTATGGACCTGTTTTGTATAGGGCATGTATAAAAGGTGCAGAATCCAGTGTTTTTCATCACGAGGACTTGATATGATGCTTTGGCTGTGCTATTCCCGTCTTATTGTTGTTATTTATTTCTTCGGACCAATCTAAGATATAAAGGTCAATTTTCTATTACACCCATACTATACACCCAATACACCCTTACAATACAAAAGTAGGTCAATATGCTTTTCAGTTTTATGCTGATTCTATTGACCTGGATAATGTGTGTAATGTGAATATAGTGTCAAAGAAAGGCAGGACCATAAGGTAACAGTTTGATATGTATACAGTATAATAAAAGCCAGATTACTATCGGAGTAATATTTTTTTTCTTTTTAGTTTGCAAGTTTCACTTAAGGTTGGTCTAGAAAAAGTTTTAATTCAAACAGGATTTAAGAAGAAAAAATCCCCACCAATACTACAAGCATTCAAAATTATGCTTTATCAAAGCAGGGAAACATTTTGCACTAACCCAGCTGAACGAGATAATAAATGGTGAGCAGAATCTGCATCTCAGCAGAGAGAGGTTGAATAGGGGATGGTCCATAATGCTGGTAGACTCTGGGGAGGGTTTGTGAACTCAGGTAACAACTCCGAAGAAGAGAACTGATGAGTACATCACTTGTGTTGCCTGTGAGCTGAGGAAGAGGGCCGTGACCTGTACAAATAGGAAATAAATGAAAATTTGTCCATTATTTCTAAAGTCTTCTACCTTGGAGAAAATAAAATTGTCTAGATATTAAATGTAGGTGTGAAAAGTTGATAGAAAGAGGGAAGAAAAAAAATTTTCCTTGAAGTGTTAGGTATTTCCCAACCAGTAGATGGCATGTCAAGAGCTTTTTGAAATATTGGATTCTAAAAATTCCTTCAATTTCAGTTTACATCAATAATTGATCCTCTCACCTTTAAATATAACAGGCTGCAGCCTGCAGGTGTGTAGCAGCTGATCAGGCACTGCTACAGACACCTCAGGGGTTGAAAGTTGACTTGAAGACCCCCGCGATGAGCTCTGCAGGGATGTAGCTTCTGGCACAAAAGAAGACCATCACAGAAAGGTGTTTACATCCATCACATAGTTTGGTTGGGACTATTAAGCTCTATAAAAAAGAAACAGTAACTCTGCAAACACAGAGTGTTTGAACGCATACAGTATTTGTACCTGATCTCGCTCCATTTGTGATGACAGAGGTCGCTGATAATTTTGATGAGGCGACTGACGTCTGGGCAGACTTAACAGCACTGTCTGTCAGGCTGTTAGCAGATGAATCAGGTGACCACCCTTTGTGTCTCTTTTTTGGGGGGCCAGCGTTGACATGAGGACCTATCAGGTTAAAAAAAGGAAACACAACAAACTTAACTAAGGTTAAAATTGCACATACATGTTTTTCTTTATCCTTATCTATATTTTAGATGTTTATATTTGTCATTTTTCAATCAGCTGGCCCTGGCACTGATGACCTGAGACTCCCGGGAGTCACTTTTCTCATTTTAACACCTTACGAATTAACACATTTACTACAAAATGAGCCGAAGAGACTTTTGTGGATACTGTAATGCAAAACAGTTGTATTTTAGTCATGCATTTATCTCCCTTTGTCTCTCAAGTATGTGTTGAAATTCTGTAATAATGGAGTCACATAAAAGATGTGCTTGTTAAAAGGGCAATGAAAAAACAACACCACCGGGAAGGAAGTGTTTCATTCAGAGACAATGCAGGGAGAAAAAAAGATGAGACAGAGAGAGGGAATTTTATAACCCTGGTTTATGGAGGAGGCAGACTGAGGAAGAGGGAGGGAGAAGGACAGAGCAGGAAAATAGAGGAGAAAGGAGAGGGAGGCAGAAGTTTAGTGCTCTGAGGGGCTGGCAAATAAAAGCAGGAAAAACAAAGGGTGACCACCCTGACATAAAAAGTAGCTGCTGGGCTCCTGTGAAGCAGACAGGCACAAAGGGGAGGGGCTTAAAGATAACCAACACAAACTCGTCATATTTATATGCAAACAAAAAGAGGTCAATTTTAACAAAGGAAACGGAAATTTGTATATAATAATAACAAAATCTCAACACAATGACAGAAATTATACCAGTAAACCAAAAGTGTATTTTAACACCAGTAAAATATTGTTTCTTACAATCTCTTTACACTTTTTCTATTTCCTTAAAATTGTTAACATAAAAATGTGGTATGGACAGATGCACCACATTTCCAATAAAGGAATTATATGTAATGTGTAAAAAGAAGATTTTTAATTTTACTACTTCTACCTTTTCTAAAAACAATACAAATAAAAACAAAAAAGCCATGTTGAACTATGTTAAAAAGCTTTTATTTTCCTGCTTTGTGTCTTTTACTGGAAATCCTCAAATATTCAAGGTATTTGACTGAAACCAGAAAAACTGAAGAACAAGCAAAATAGCTGTTCCCTTCAAAAAACTTCCTTTGACTTTATGTTTATATAAATCACAGACATTACAGTTGGCCACAATCTACTTCATGTCCATGCTGGAAACAATGGAGCGAATGATGCATGCCTTGTCCCATTTCTAAGGAAACATGCATGTTCTGAGATCATCGCATATTCTTAGGAATTAGCTTTATTCAAATATTAATAATGGCACTGCAACAAAACAATTTCACCAGGTTCAGCAAATATTAAAATGCAGATGCAGCAACATCAAAACTAAAATTTTAAACATTAAAAGCAATTTGGAAAAAGTAATTCAACTTAGGAGAAATAAAAATGTTTTAGTATAAATGTACTGTCAAACCTTAATGTTAAAAACATACATCCCCACATATAACCCAAATAAATATAACAAAAACTGGTCCTAGACGTAAATATTGTTGTTTTCTACATGTTCAATGAACAGGAGCTTTCTTAACTACAGTTTTTTTTTTCTTCTTCATGTTGATAACTGTTATACACACATTGCTTTATTGATCCCAAAAAGGCTAAGGCATGTCACTTTTGGAACTACATGTATACCATATGTCATTTTAACCCCAAGACAGAAGGAGCAGAATGGAAAAGGCAGGAAGGAGAATCTGTACCTGTAGCAGAGGGTCTACCAGGTCCTGATTGATTTAAAGGTGGATGGGAAATGGAGGAAGCTCCTGTGTGGTTCCCATTTATCAACGTAGTGGGGACATCAGCTGTCTGAGGCTCTACATGTGATCCTTAAAAGTGTATAAAATGAAGAAAAGCCGAAAGGTGACAATGACGTCAGAAATAAAAACAAACTACTGAATCCGTGAAATGACTGTGTGTTAACCTGTGACACTGCCTGGCGTGTGGGTTAAAGCCAGGTTTGACGATCGTTCATCTGGTGTCAGGGGGCCCTCAGAGAGACTGGATCTTATCTGTCTTATCCTGCCATCTGAAAGACATGAAACCTGCTGTCAACTAATACAAAAAAAGCAGAACCTCTTTATGTAATTTCTTCGAAAAAGGGCATACTTGTGAGAAGGACTTCAACCAAGTTTAGTGCTAAACTTTGCTTTCTTAAAGACCTATCAAAGAGTCTTATTAGTCTGACATATCTGTATAAGATTACAACCAAGACTTACTCATATGGAAGGAATTCAGGACTGATTGAGAACACTGGTTGCTATTTTTACTCATTTTTTAAAAACCATAACAATTTTTTTCCTAAATAGTTTTTTGTTTGTAGATAGGTCTTAAACATGGAAATATTAATGGAGCAAAAAGTTGACAAGAATCACAAACACCCTTGTAAAGAGGATTCCCCTCCAGGTTAGTTTGTATTTTGGGTTGTGCTAAGTCCAGCAGCATTATTATGTAAACAAACCTTTTTCTCAGGACCTAAAAAAAAGCTTTATATTTCTAGTTGTAAAATTGCAGCCTTTCAACACATTAACTTAAAAAGAAGAGAATCTGAGCCATTCTGGTCTAGAATCAGCCAATAGCTTGCCCAAATCATCGACATTCATCAACAATTGTCCTTTCTCCAGGGAATGTCCTCTATCACCATAACCTCGAGGCTGTGGCACCTGTGTAAACTCAACCATCTCACCTTTGACCCCTGTATGAGCCTGTCCTGTCGATGCATTTCATTACATTCAAAATATGTCATTTTAAAAATTAGAAATACGTCTTTATCCCCCTTAGAGTGTATGAATAACATCTGATGTGAGGTTTGGGAATATTAGTTACCTTTTTGTGTCTGAAGGATTGATAATATATGTTGAAAATATTATAATGACAAGCCAAAGGGCAATTTTACAAGCAACTCTGTTGATTCTTTTGACAATCTTCATGCTTATTTAACTGCCTCGGGTAAAAAGTCTATTAATTCCACTCACCTGCCAAGAACAAGGCTGGGGGTGTTATGATTTTTTTTTAAGAACAAAAACAAATACAAAACCAAGCTTTACCCAGTACTGAAGTTTAAAACACAGCTTCTTATACCATCTGGGACTCTGTATGCGCTGTGTTTCCCTGGGAAACATTAGTAAGGCATTTTTTTTAAAGTGGTCACTTTTTATCTCTGGTTATTTAGACATATTATATAGGGGGAAAAAAACAACAAAAAACACTCATAATATGACAATGAATATTTCTTATTTTACCAATTTCTTAAAATTTATCTAAAGTGTAAAAATTTGACAGAGTATTGGGTGACATTCTATAAAACATAATTTTCTTTTGTAAATGATGAAAATAAAGTCATAATATCACATGAATAAAATCATGATATTAGCTCTATGAAATTAAAGTAATATAATTAGTAAGATAAACTTGCAAAATTAGGTAAATAAAGTCACAATAAAACATCTGCAAGATCAAAGTTGTAAGATTACCAGAATAAAGTTGTAATATAATGAGAATAATCCCATAACATGGGATTGAACGAGTAGCCTTCTGTAATGGTAACACTTATAAGGATCCCCCCCCCCCAAAGCAATCATCTTTGATAGAGCTTTGTTGTTGCATAATATTATACCTTTAACATTTACTTATTATGACTTCTCATATTTTCATATCATGACTTTATTCTAATGTTACAACTTTATTTTAAAAAACAGTCTTCGAAAAGATTAAAATGAATTTTATCTCATTGGATATGCCTTGTGACAGCAGTAGTTTAACTTCTTACCATTCCCCCTCCAGCAGATGGGAGCGCCCTTGACCAGTATGCCCTGGTTATTGCGGTATAGTTGGTATTTTAAGTGCTTCTGTTTCTTGGGCTGGGTGCTGAGCTTCAGGTTAATGTGGTTGGAAAACTCTGTGAAGTAACGGAAACCTTTTTCTCCGCAGCCCATACAGTTTCCCGAGAAACCTGGAAGAGGACAAAGCAAAAGGATCACATTATTTATTAAAAGGATGTGGATCATATCAGAAATGCACTCAGATACAAAAGCAAGCCCAAGATTTTTGGGCTGGAAGTTATTCATATTTTCTGATCTTGAAAACAGAATGTCAAGTCATATTTTCCTGTAAGTCCTCTGCCTCACCAAGCAGGGCGTTTCGACCCCGTTCGTCTGGCAGGAAGCGGTGGTCCACAGCACAGACCAGCAGGTTGTCAGGGAGGGAGGGGGATTTTACCCCAACTAGCATGAACCCAGGAGGAACATCCAAGTTCACTGATGCAAGCGAGGACAAACGCAGATCTTTGCCAGCCTGACAAAAGCCTGTAGGGAGAGCAAAGTTTTCCAGAAAACATTAGATAAAAAACAAGAGAGGCTTTTTATTTATGTATTATTTGAAAAAAAGGAATTTTCCTCCTTTGGATTTTTTTATATTACAATTTTTATTTCTTCTCTGTCGCCACAGCAACATGTTTCAGAACACAATATATTTGGCGGTTTTTAAATGCTGGTTTCATTTATTAATGAAGAAAGCTAACCCAACCACTCTGGACCTAAACTTAATATTTGGTTGAGCTACGATTGGCAACGACTACCATAAAGTGTTTTTCAAAACTGGAAAAGAGTATTTCACATTGCTGTTGTAGCTTTTCTTTAAGAATTGTTTAACAACCAATTTTAAATTGGACTTTAAGTTCAGACTAAGCTTCTCTTTTTTATAATTTTTTTTTTATTTTTTTCTTAAATATAAAAAATTAAACAAACAAAATAAAAAAAGACTAAGCTTCTCTAACTTCTTCTGGGGGTGGCTAGCCAAAGTAAATCAGTTCAAGATTTAAAATCATGCACATTTTAATTTTCACACACAACCATAATTATTTGGATAGATTTATTTCCTCCAATTAATAAAACATTGCAGAATTGGAATTTATTGAGGTTAACTTTTTATGAAAATAAAAGGTGTTTGATGATCGGAGACATGTCTGACAAAAATTCACTAAGCAAAATAAATCTGTGAGGAGGTGAATCCTTTATTTCTAATTGCTGGCAAAGGAGGATAAGATTAAAATGATTGAATTTCATTGTGTTAGGGCACACTTTACACACAGCAGATATAACGCAACACTTCAAAAATAGCTTTTCTGTGACTTATGTCATTGAATGGTGATAAATGTACATGCCGTCTGTGGTGCAGCATCCCTCTGGTGGAGGTTTCATCTGGTAGGGTATTGGTGGACTGTTAGACTCCGAGTCATCTTCATCATCTTCATCATCATTGAATGCACGGCCTATTCAGGGTATAAATTGTGTTTTATGCATGGGCAAATAAAGATTGAGCTAAAAGCTTTTAAATTGTTTTAAACTTCAAGTTTCTGACTCAAAATGACTCTAAACTACAAGTTCTAAAGCTCCTAATCCCTAGTTCACTGCTGCTTCACCTGCGTATTTCATCAACTCACCATCCTGCATAAACAGCTGCTCTGTCTCAAGATAAAGCTGAGAGAAGACTGGCCGAGGAACCACAGTGTTTGACCTCAGGGACGCCTCGATGGAGTTGTGGAGGACCTCCTCGAAGCGCGTGGACCGCAGCTGGCCTGCGTAAGAGTTTCCCATTGGCGTCCTGTAAGAACACAGCAACCCTGTATTGGAGCCTTAAAGGTATTCCTGCTGTTTGGGTTGCTTTAAAACGGTCACATAAAAAAGGAAGGCTGACCAAAAACAGATATAGTTTTTTTTTTTTAAAGTTTTTCTATCATTTCTTTAAAAGCTCTCTAGTATCAATAGAAAACGTCTTAGTAATGTGTATGGACTCACAGACACATTTACATTTAGGTAAAATCATTTAAAATCAGAGGCGCATCTCTTCTCACTCACACACACAGAGATCCACACATTCTTAAATTGTGGCTAGGGGTTGCATGGCTTTTATCCAAACAACGTAATATAAAATCAGCTGCACTGACAGAGTCAGGTCATCATGACCCAGACACAACTCCCTCCCTGTTTTCCTACTTTTTCTCCAAGAGCATCTCCCTCACTGAGTTTTTCTCCATAGTTCAGTTAATCTTAAACAGATCTAAAAAATATATAAATAAATCTAACAAAGAGATTTATTTCTAAAAAGGACAAATATGTCGAGGAGGGAACAAACTTGTTAACAGAGAAATAAAATTGTACTGTGAGCATGAACCTGATCCCACTGCTTCTAATCCTGGTGGGACCAAACTGGTTTCCAAGCTCACACAGCTGACTGATATAACACCCCCACCCCCCCACCCCCGCCCCGTCTGTGTGACATTAACTAATAGGAAGTGTCAGCTTGGTGAAAAGCAGGGATGTCCTGATACAACTTATAGATTTACAATACAATCCTGACATTGCCAATATGAGTATTGACTGATACTGATAATGACCCGATATAATATCAGCACTACTCTATATATATTCATACCGGTACATATTTTGTGTGTATTGGACATTAGAAAAGGCTTGATCAAGTAATAATACTTAAAAAGAGAACAAAAACCAACAACATCAGGTCTGGCAAAAACAGATCCATTCATCAATAACCGATGGGTTACATAACTGTTTAGCAGAAGGAGACAGAAGAAGAGTGTTTCTATCCACTTTCTAATATCGGAAACTTTAGATGCAGGCACGTATATACAGATATTATTTATTTCTGGCTAATATCAGACTGATTTCATCAATATCAGTTTGGGGCATCCCTAATAAAAATGCATCTTTAATACATTTTAAAGCATTTTTGCCATATATTCAATAAAGAATCACATCTAGGAATGGCCTATAATGATAATGATGTGTTTCTTTGCAAACCTTGTTCTGTGTTATGACAAAAAACAACAACAAAACAATAAAAACTAAATGAAATTAGTCTGCATTCCCACAAAGTAAGTATTTAAGCAACATTTCAAAGCCTCACAATCCACCTTCTAGTACATCAGCTGTGTCACAGAAAAACAGTAATGCATCTATACCATTGGGTAATATAGACTAGATTCCTATGCTACAAAGGTCTATGCTTCTTATAGGAAAAACGACAAGCATTGCTTAAAAATAATAACGCAATTTAAAAGAATTACAGTTTTAAAAAAAATAGTTATTAATTATTATTATTTCCTCACTAACTTCCTCACTATGATCTTTAAGAATTCCTATTCCAGTCAAAAGAAATATGTCAATAAAATTAAATGATTCCTTTAAACCTTGATCTGCCAGGTGGGTTAATGACTTCTTATACATACGTATGTATGTATCTATGGATGGATGTATGGAATGCATGGATGGATGCGAAGGCCAATAAAACAGTATTTTTAAAAGAACACTGTAACTTTTAGCTACTAAGGGTGCTAAATCCGTGACTTCTAGGTTTAACTCCCCTTAAAGCAAACTGGCATCACTGGACTGTCACAAAAGTAAACACTCTCCCTCCATGTTTTGGAATCTGATAGTGGACTCATTTAGACTAGAAGACTCATAAGGGATGGAACTACTTGTGGAGCCACATTTGTCTCTCAGATTAAATCCAACATCAGAGAACCAAATAATGTCTGATGACATAAATGTCCTTTCTGTTTTGTTTTGCTACAACATATTTTAGCTAAGTCAGCTCTGTTTTTTTAGGCAAGCAAAGACTGTTATAGGTTATAACGGTCTTTGGTATAGGTTATAGGTCACCTGACTCATTCAGGGATGGATCCGACCCTCCCAAAGGACAAAGGTGAGTGTTTTAAGAAGGGAGGCCCACAATATGCACCAGGTCCTTTAAAATGACTTGAGATAATCCTTTAAAATACTTAAATGAAACTTGGGTTGCATATATTGTCTCTCTTTAAATGACACAAACAAATCCCTGCCAGTTGCTATTAGGAAATAAGTTATAGAAGAACAAAATAACAACATTGTTACTAGGGACACTCAAACATCAGAATTGGCCATTTTATTCCATTTAATTGCCTTTCTTATTAAACTCATTAATATGTACTATAATTTATCTCGAAACACAGCAGCCAAAAGTTTGAAATAAGATTCCTTTTTTGCAGTCAGACAATTAGTAAGGACATGTAGCTCACTACAATCCAGATTAGTGCATCTTAAATTAATATGTATATATTACATTTCTCTCGCTGAAGAGATGAGCATAAAAGCTCACAAGTTTGTAGGTTCTTGCACCACCTCACAGAGGGATGAAGTGAAGGAGGGACAAAGAGCACGGGAACAACACAGCCAGTGCTAAAAGGAAGGAATTACACCTTTTACCAAAGAGGATGCTGATCATTTTACAACCAGGGGGGAGAACTGAGAAATTGACATTTACTGGATTAGAACTACAACCCAAAAGTCTAAAGTCTAATTTATCCATACTATGAGTAAAACATAATAAAATCTTTAATTGGGGAAAAACTTAAAATAACCTCAAAAAACAATAATTAGATTGTGTTCAATCACCTTTTTTTTCCCTTGAAAAAATGTTCATGAATTTCACATAAGGAAACCATCAACAGGATGAGACACATCTTTTAACCATTTTCCCTCACCTTGTTGCTCTGTCATCGATTCTGTATATATTTGAACAAAAACCCCTCTGTCGTTTGTCCAAAGGCACAACTAAAAAAGATCCAAGAGACCCCCAACCCACAAAAGGAGGGCAAGCAGCAAAGATGACAGCAATAAGCCGTAAGTAAAACTCTTAAGTCTGCTTTGTTGATCTCTTCTCCTCCCACCTCCCCCTTCTTTCCTCTTTTCTTGACATGGAAGTGGGAGATCCTTTTATCTCTCTTGCTCCCCCCTTCGGCCTCTCTTTCACCCTAGGGAGAGAGACACTATTGTGGTTTTTTATGACCCCTTGAACCCTATTCTCATCACTAACTTCGCACCCCCCCTACCCCACCACCACACACACACACACGCACACACACAGTTTGTTGTCAGTATTCTTTAAAGGAAAATGCAAACACTTTATCTCCAATCCAGGAGCTTTTAAGGTGTCTCATTATCAGCATCAAATGGTTGGAAAGAAGGATGTGTTTTAAATGTTTATAAATGTGTATTTTCGATTTAAATTCTGACGAGAAAACCTTTGTTAGCAATGTCGAAGCTAAATATCGACTACCATATCGGTATATGTTAAACTTCTGCAGCCAGAGCTATATTTCTGTTGTGAAGAAGTCATCTAACGTATGCAAACACACATAGATCATCTGTGCCATCAGGGAATGGCTGAATTAGTTTGAGGGATGTCTCATGACCACAAGGTCAAAGGTGACCCAAGATAACAATGTTTAACTTAGACTTTGATGTGGCCTATACGTCTTACACACATACACTCACACCTTTATGTGTGCACACACACACTCACAAACACACACACACACACACATATACACCAATACAGGGACTCCACCACCTCCAACCCCAGACACGCTCTCCCAGGGTCTCATGCTTGGGGGACACAAAAGGCTTGTCTTAGGGAGGGGTGAAGGGTCATGATGGGAGAGGTCAGATAAAGACCCCTGGCTCTTTTCTCTCACAGCCCAGCTTGCATACCAGTTATTCACACACCCACACACACACAAACCTATGGAGCTGCACCAAGGCTTCTGTTCACTCCGACACGTGGGATCTCCTCATACTCACTGAAGATAAAGGTACCACTGTGGGGAAGAAGATTTATGCAACCAATTACTACTATAAATTGTACCAAGCTAGCATGTGTCTTAGTCATGTGGTAGGAACATCAAGTAGGTGTTTGTTTTAAGTCAGATTAAGGTAATTTAGGTTAACTTAGCTGATGTCAGACCAGACGACTCTTTTTACGGTTTTTCTTTGAAGTGTTTGTGAGAAACTGTTTTAGAAAACAGATACGATATCATGCAGCTGAGGAATGTGTAGCATCTATCTCGGGCCTGAGTAACAGAATTTAAGCATTTACAACAATTCCAGTTATAAATACACTCTGACGCTGAAAGATAAGATTCAGATCGCTTCATTTCCACTTACAGACCCACTGTTTGCTACCTGGACAGTGGATGGACTGCAATTCAGCTAAGCATTCACTTACTTTTCCATACTTTGCAATAACCAGCAAATCAGCTTACAATAACTACAAAACAATACTATAATCTGTAAAAGCTTTTCCTACTTAAGCATTCCCTTGTATGCACAGAAGAAATCATTTGCAATGTTCAGCTGCAGAGCAGATTACAATACAAAACAGTCCATGCATTCAGGATGCAGGAAGCACCACCTGCTACACTAAAACTGAACAATCAAAAAAACTACCTCTGCTAGAGTTAACTTTAAAAATCTGCATCTTACTGAATGTTTGGTGGCTGTACTTCCTGTCGCTTTAGTGTCTCAGAAAATGTCCTTGAGCAAATTTTGTTTCTTCTGCTCTGTCCTGCTTACATAACTGTAAGGGTACTTGTATTGTCTAGATGCATGCACAATTGCACATCTATCTCCTACAGTATGTGCATTGGCAAGCCTTTAAACATCTGTGATGCTAAATGCCCTGAAGATTTTAAAACTTCTGGTAGCCATCATAAGGACTATATGCAAAAATAACAGATATGATAAATGTTTTTAAGACAAATTTGCATCATGAATGTACAACCTCTGTATAGAAGTTAAAAAAACAACTGATCCCAGAAAAATTAATAAAACTTAATACTTTTCATTTAGTGACAATGAACACAAGACAACCTATGTCACCATGGCAGGAGAAGAAACTATAATAAGCTTTGTTGTGCATTTGTCTTCAAAAATGTTTTATAATATTTGATGAAATACAAATAAAAGTAGAAAATTAATCAATGATAATAAGAAAACACTTAAAATACTAATAGAGATCGGGGTTAAAATAGGCAATTTTTTTTTTTTACTTTATGAGTTGTGTGCAACTTGTTATTAAACAACATTAATAACAACCGAGCTTTCAATTTCATGTTATTTATTTATTTATTTATTTATCTTTTTATGAAAATTATTATTAAGCTTTTACGGAAAAATCCAAACAGACGCAAAATGATAGTCAGTGGACTACTTACCTCTGCGGTCCAGAGTCCGAAAACTATTTTTCTCACAAAGCGGACAGACTGATTCTGTCACCATGCCACCGGCGCGAGACCTTCTTCTAGAATGCCTTTGGTGTCGCGTGTGTCATCACCTCTGATCCGCTGAGATGTCCCTCCCTTTTCCTCCGGAACTCTGTCGGACCCTGAATACACAAATGAGATTTTTAAAAGCCGAGGCAGGCCATGAAGGAATGACGCAGGGAAATAAACAGATAGACTTCCATGGGATATGAGAAGAAAAAATACAAAACAAAAATATAAACCTGAAAAAAAAAATCTAATCAAGAAAAGGATTTAGATTTCAGATAACTACTCTAGGCTAAATGAAAACGTTAAATATGTCATATTTTTAAACATCCCGATGACACACATCTGATATAATGATAGTGCAATGGTAATGGCTCTAAAAGTGGAGAAACTGTATTCTTTTCAGTTTTTGATCTTTAAAAGTATATTAAATTGGTAAAAAAGAATTTAACACAAATGTAACTGTCCAAGTATTTTTCTTTTTGTCTTGGCTGAAATATATGTCTGTGTATCTGAGCTAAGATAACACTTTCCCATCACATTCCGGTCAAATTGTGAAAGTGATATAAACAATTTTGTAGTAAAACAGGATTAAAAAGGGGTATTCCTTTATCAAGAAACCAGTTCTAATAAGGTTTTCCTTAAAAATTGGCATTTTTTAAATGAAACTGTAATTAAACTTCTAATTATACGAGATATCAAAACACGACCTTACCGCTTTTTTCTTTCCCCAACAAATTTTAATAAATTTGACTAAGTACACACTCTTGAATAAGTCAAAAAAAAACAGGGTTTTGGTAATTAAAACGTATTATAAATAGGCTTCTGTCGCCCTCTACTGGACAAAAAATTTTCTTACAGCGAGAACAAGGGGAAGAAACTAAAGCTATTCAAGAGCACGATGAAGCTTAAGAGATGTTAGGAGTGCTTTTACAAACATAAATTGTGCGAGAGTTAATCCAGGCCTGTGTATTGAGGGAGGCTCACTTCTTAACTGCGTTTGCAAAATTTAGTATATAAAAATTAAAAAAATGTGAAAAATATTTTTCAACACTTTGAATAGCAATAGGCTACACAGAAAAAAAAATACAAATCGGCTCAACAGCTTGCCTTTGCAAAGCCAATTTTATAAAGTTAAAAAGAACAGTTAATTTTTTATTTTTTTTTTTTACATTTTTTCTGCAATTTGAATGGACAAGCAGCTTTATGAAGAACAAAGAACACATCAGAGAGATCAGAGGTAAATTTGTGGAAAAGCTTAAAGCAGGGAAAGGTTGTATCACGAACTCTGAAAATCTCACAGAAAGCTGTTCAATTCATCATGTTAAAAGAAACAAGTATGGCCCAACGAAATCTGCAGGAGCAGCAGAGATTCACTCCTATTTAAATATATAAATACCCATGTAAACACCCTGTGCAATAACCCGGTATAATGATCCTAATATATATATAAAAAAAGCTGTCATATGTGTATATGCTGTATATATATCCATGCACCTTTTTCTTCCTTTGGCACATTCTTCTTGAGATCAATCAATCAATCAATCAATCAATCAATCAATCAATCAATCAATCAATCAATCAATCAATCAATCAATCAAT